GGGGAGAACCCTCACGCTGCCGGGGCTTCTCGCTGCGTTGCATTTTACAGGAGTACAAAAGGAGGAAATAACTTAATGTTTGCCTCCACGCGTGCCCTTCTGTCTCATGTTGGTGTTCCTCAAAGCCTCAGGTGGCAGCCAAGCCTTGTGTCTGCACTTCAGTCACCAACTGCATTAGCAGGGGCTGTTCTTAAGTCCCAAAGATGCTTTATTTGGTAAAGGCCTCTTAACCAAACACAGCCTTGGAGAAGTAAGTGATGGGCCATTAACCACCCTGCTTCTTGACCTCTGCCCAGGTTGGGATGGCCCCAGAGCACGTCCCTGGTCACACCGTGGTATAACCAAGCCAGGGCAGACATGGCCCTGCTGTGTTCCCACACCAGCAGTGCTGCCAGGAAGGGCTTCCTGAAGCTGCACGGTGACTTAGGGAACCACATTCAGAAAAGCAGTGTGAAACACACACACTTAGCACCTCTCCAGATTAAACCACCTCACACTGGTTCCTGGCAAATGGTCTCAGTGTTACAGAGCCCAGCCCTGGCAGCAACTGATCAAATCCAGACTAATCTCCCATACCCCTGCTGTGTTTGTGACCTGTTGGGTGTCCCCCAGGTTCAGTTAGCAAAGGAGTGCAAGCAGCCATGGCCAGAACAATGCTGTCCATTTGGCAGGGCTGAGGGAGGCCTTGTTAGAGCTCATTTGTACTGATTACAGATGATCCTCCTTAATCTGTCAAGATTTCTCAGCTTAAACTGAGATGTGCTTGGGTCAGAAGCACAACTTCAAAGCACATAAATGATCTGTGTGTCACCAGGTTATGGCTGTGAGTTACAGAAGTGAAGTGAGAAGAGGAACAGTGTGAATCATCCACAGGCTAAGGAGACTGCAGGGTTGATGCTATGAACAGCGATGTCCATGGGTGAAAACCCTTCTATTTCTAGTCCACCAGGGCAGCAAAAGTCCTGCTGAGGGCCACAAACAGCCCCTTGAGTGTCCAAGTGGGCCGAGGCAACTAGCTTTATTGGCTCTGGTTCAG